GTCATGTTGTCAGAAGGGACCATTCCCTAGAGAAGGATGTTATGCTTGGTAGGGTGGAGGGTCGACGAAAGAGGGGGAGGCCTTCAACGAGATGGATTGACATGGTGGCTGCGATGATGGGCTCAAGAATAGCAGGTATTGTGGGGCTGCCGTGGGATCGGGCAGTGTTTCGTTCTGCTGTGCATGGGGTTGCTATGAGTCGGAAACGACTCGATGGTACTTAACAACAACAACAACAACAACTGATGAAGATGAAAGACTACAGTCTTCAGTATGGATTACACCTCAACATCCTCACTGGACTGATAAGCATCATTATGATAAATGGAGAAAAGATTGAAGTTGTCAGGGATTTCATTTTACTTGGATCCACTATCAACATCCATGGAAACAGCAGTCAAGAAATCAGCTGTCATGTTGCCTGGGCAAATCAGTTGCAAAAGACCTCTTTAAAGTGATAAGAAGGAAAGATGTCACTTTGAAGACTAAGGTGCACCTACCCCAAGCTATGATATTCTCAACCACCTCATAGGTATGTGAAAGCTGGACAACGAACAAGAAGAATGAAGAAGAGTTGATGCCTTTGAATTATGCTGTTGGCAAAGAATAATGACAATATCATGGACTGCCAGAAGAATGAACAAATCTGTTCTGAAAGAAATGCAGCTAGAATATACTCCTTAGAAGCAGGAATGGCCTGATTTCATCTCATGTACTTTGGTCTTGTTGTCAGAAGGGACCATTCCCTGGAGAAGGCTATCATGCTTGGCAAAGTGGAGGTTCACTGAAAAAGGGAAAGACCCTCAACAAGATGGATTCATACAGTGGCTGCAAAGATGGGCTTAAGCATAACAATGATTGTGAGGATGCTACAGGACCAGGCAATGATTCGTTCTTCATACCTAATGTTGCTATGAGTTGGAGCTGACTTGATGGTACCTAACAACAACACACTTACAATTAGTTCAGAATTCCTAAAGTTATTACTAACCTCACATAGTTATTTGCTTTTTCAATATTTATGAGCCAAGCACTATTCTAGACACTGTGACTATCAACTAAAAAAGACAAAGTCCCATACCTATGAAATGCACAGGTTTGACAGGATATTTCTACACATGTATTTATATATGCTGCAAATGAATCCATGAATATAGCAGAGCATACAGGAGGCAAAGTTATGAAAACCTGTCCAAAGTACATGACATGAAGTCTCGCCCTTCTCACTTCTAAGGAGTATTCTGACTATACTTCTTCCAAGACAGATTTGTTCATTCACCTGGCAGTCCATGGTATATTCAATATTCTTTGCCAACACCATAATTCAAATATATCAATTCTTCTTTGGTCTTCCTTATTCATTACTCAGCTTTTGTACGCATTATGAGGTGCCTGAAAATACCATGTCTTGAGTCAGGTGTACTTTAGTCCCCGAAGAGATATCTTTGCTTTTTAACACTGTGAAGGGGTCTTTTGCAGCAAATTTGCCCAATACAAATCTGCCTGTTTCCTAACACAACAGCTATGACTGAACCATTACAAATAAGTTCAAAGCCCTGCTTTTGAGTAAAGAAGCAAGCAAAAGAAACAGAGATGGGGGAAGAAAGATACCAAGCCAAATGAAGATCACCTAGGAACAGAAGCTCAAGAGACAAGGACCTTCCTCAAGAACCGACAGAGAGTAAGTCTTCTCCTAAAGCTGGCAACCCGAATTCAGACTTAAACTGTGAGAAAATAAATTGCTGTTTGTTAAAAGCCACTAACTTGTGGTACTTCTGTTATAGCAACAATCGATAACTAAAACAAAGTCATTCTGATACTCAACCAATTTTGAGAGCAAATGTCAGTCTGTAATGACTAAAATATACTATAGAAAAACACAATTTGGGGGGGTTGGCTTGTGGGTAAGAATGGTAGTTGTTGTTGTTGTTGTTGTTATTTGCTGTTGAGTCAGACCGGACTCATAGCCACCCCTCCTTGGGTTCCGGAGGCAGTATCACTACGAAAGTAGATTGCCCAACCTTCCTTCGGAGGAGTGGCTGGTGGGTTTGAACTGCCAGCCTTCTGGTTAGCAGTCAAGTGCCAAAGACTTACGATGTGTAACTGTATTCCTAATTTTCTTTGTAGCCTCCTGGTGCTTGGAAAAGAAAACTCGTATTTTCATTGTAAGGACTAAGAAAACAGATCGATATAGAAGAGATGGGAAATTGAACAATGCTGACAAATTCTAAGATAGTCTTCACTTCTTTCCTTTCCGAGAAGCTCCTGCTTCTTCCCTCCTGAAAACATCCCCTGTCCCTCAGGCTCCAGCGTCCCTACGTAATACACACTACGTCCGTAGAAATGCCTTTGGCTAACGAGGTGCTTTTATAAATTTTGTTTCATTTTATTTTCTCAAAAACTCTTTGACGTTGAGGTATTATCTTTTCCACTATGACACGAAGAATCTGAGGTTGGGACTAGGTAAGGGTTTGCACAAGGTTGTAAAACCAATGCATATAGTACTTCTGACGGCTAAACCCTAATCTGGAGTCATTCCCTTCTTTTGCGTCCCTTACGGATTCATCCTTCTATTTCCCACCCCCATCTCCCAAAAGTTTCTCATGACCCCAAACGCTTATAACCCTATCAGGATTCTCTCGATCCTTTACCAGCTCGCCCTCCTTCCGCTTACTCCTTTTTCCTTCCCGCTACTCACGCACTTTCAGAGCGGACCCCTTCTGAAGAGCATAATTTAAAATGTGAGCGGAGAGGAGAAAGGCAAGGAGAGAGATTTGGGCAGAAGCAGCTCCAGATCTAGAAAAACCAAAGTGTTTAGGGAATCGGCGCGTCCGCTGCAGCACCCTAACAACTTTATATCTCTGTCTCGGAACCCCACTCGAGAGCTGTCGTTCCCGAGGACACTTACGTGACATTGGAAAGACTCGGACAACCCTGGAATGCATGGTGGCCGCCATCTTCTCCCACAATCCCCCACGGGTAGCTGTTCGGCCAGCTACGGCTACTAATCTAGGCCAAAATTTATCTCCCCGCCCCGCCCCGTCCCGTCTGCAAAGGCACTGAACAAGAAAAGAAGTCGTGAGTGTGATGTTGGGACAGAGTACGTCTGAGAGAGGAGGGGCTGGACGGGCATAAAGATAATATCATATTGCCTTGAGGAGCCTGAAGTTCAGTCAACTACTAATTTACTCAGGTCCTTTGAAATGGCAGAACGCAAGCTGGAGGAGCTCAGCCTTCTTGACTCTCAGTTGTTGTTGTGTACCGTGGAGTCAGACTTGACTCATGGCGACCCCTCCTTGGGTTTCCGAGGCAGTATCACTATGGAAGTAGATTGCTCAACCTGCCTTCCGAGGAGTGACTGGTGGGTTTGAACTGCCAGCCTTCTGGTTAGCAGTTAAGTGCCTTAGACACTATGCTACCAGAGCTCCTAGTAGTCTCCCTGAAATTGTCAGATAAGACAACCTTTGGTGAGACTAGAGAGGAGACGTGGCCCCTTCCCTCTAGGAATTCTTGAAGGAGAGAACCAGGATCTAGGATAGGGAGAGAGGGAGCCCAATAGAAAAAGTTGGGGAAAGTAATAGAAATGAGGATGTGTAGATTGCCCAGTCTTCCTTCTGAGGAGTGGCTGGTGAGTTTGAACCACCAGCCTTCTGGTTAGCAATCAGATGCCTTAGGCATACACCACCAGAGTTCCTGAGGATGTATATCACAACATATTATTTCCCTCAGAGAAATAAATGCACACATCCAGCCCACCAAGCACATTCAGACCTTTGCTCTTGCTTATTCATTTCTTCTGGAATGCTTACTCAGATGTCTGTGCAAACTCAAGTCTCTTCAAAGGTGACCTCTTTGGAGAAGACTTCTCTGACCACCCTATCCAAGGTGGTGATTATTCACCAGTGCAATTTTTAAAAAATATATTTATTCATTTATCAATGCACTTAACACTACCTGACATACCATATCCAGGGTTTTTTAACCTGAAGTCCATGATTCAAGAGTGTGCTCTAGGAAGTCTGAACCTCTTAAAACATTATGCAAAATTTAATGGCCATGTATGCTATCTGTACAGTTTTCAGGGAGAAACTCCAGATCAGTGTCTCCAAAACAATTGTTTGTTTTGTTTTCTTTTTAACTATGGACTCCTTCGAGAATCTACATTACTCTAAAACAGCCATTGGGAGTCTGAGGACATTCCAGAAAGATTAGGCTACACACTTGCATTTTTAAATAACTTTGTTTTGGTCATACCTCTCAGGGGACAGCAACCAGTGATCATTTAATATATCTGCCTTGGGCTTATCAGAAAACATGGTAGTTGGGGGATCTTTCTAGACTTGGTAATTGTTTCAGTGTTTTTTCAGGAAGGGAAGAGCATGTATATAGCTGGTGTAGACAAAAGGCCTTGAGTGAGCCTTTTTGCCAGTTGCTGCTCAATCAGCTGTGTACATGGAGACTTTATGTTCACAACGAAACATTCCCAGGTCTTGCTCCATCTTCATGATTGTTAGTAGAGTGAGTAAGGGTTGCCTACTTATAACATTGGTTGTTCTACCCTACCCTTCCCCACTGGTTAAATGACTGCAAAGTTGCATATCAAAATTAATTGAAAGAAAAATGAAACCCTTGAAGAAATTTGATCAGGCTCTCATATTTCTTGGCCTCATCCTGTGTTCACTTTGAACTTACATTTGCTGATGTTTGATTCAGAAGTCAACATGAATATTAACATACTTTGCTAGTTCTAATAAATCAACAGACCTCACTAACATTAGCAACCTTCTGACCTCTATGTAACATTGCCAATTATGTTATTGGACTTATCCAAGTCATACGTTCCTTCATGTTCTCACTACTAGTTTCAAGGTGGCATGATAAGTTTGAAAGAGCACTGACTTAAAGCCTAGGGTATTTGATCCCAGTCCCAGTTCTTCCAGTTACTAGTTGTGACCTGAGCAAGCTTCCTCACCTGTCTAACAGAGAAAATAAGGCCTACCCAGTTATTTCAAAACTTATTGTGAGGATCAGATGACATAATGGATGAAGGTATTTTGTCAACCTCAGAGTGCTACATGCATACATACAGTCATATTAAAATATCATTGAAATGTCAAAGTCATAGAAGGTTAAGTGATCAACAAACCTCATTTCCCTTTATCTTAAAATCAGTTTTATGTTGATCTAATATAAAAGATCATTGATAGAGAAATAACTTTGATGAAAGTAGCCTGTAATAAGCCAGTTGCTTTTGAATTCAAGTTAGGATTTTAATCTTTATCTTATAGCTTTTATCAGTAATTGTTTTTGCTGCATGGATATTATATATTACTCCTATATTTAGTCATTAATTAGAGATTACCTAAGGTAACTGCAGTGTAGTAAATTACTTAGTGTGGCTTTTCTACCCATAAGTCTTTGTAAACTCCAAGGTGGGATTTTCTATGAGCAACTGAGGAGCTATCCACCTGGGTTATTTCTGTTGG